TTCCAATCCTATTGTTCTATGTTTAAGAAATATTACTAAGTTGAGGCATCCCAAAATTAACATTGCATAGGTCAATATTGTCAAATTTTATTAATTATAATTAAATTATAATTTCTTATAGTCAATGATGGCCAGTTACATGCAGTGGTTTAAAGCACTAGGCGAGAATATTGTCAGTTCGAGTCCCATTTTAGGCACAAAGCCAGCTTGCTAACCTTGGGCCAGTAAATCGTAGAAGAAAAGCAGTAGCAAACTATTTCCATAATCCAAAACCCACACCAAAAAAGCTGTGTGGGTTTATCCAGGGAGTTTCCAGGGTCAAAAATGACCCAGACACACAGGTGCACACACAAATTGGTGGGCAAAAATAATTGTATAAACTGATTTGATATTTGTGTTAGTATACTAAAATTTACTGTACTGGGCTGCGAGGGTAACTTTGAGGAAGACAAGGAAGAGCTGTAGCAGAGGCAATGGTCAGATAGGAAACATTTGAGTGCAAAGCAGGAATGGCATTTGATAAATGGCTTGTAGATCTGTGGCTGAGAGCTTATATTACCATTTGTTTAATCCTAATGCTGCATTCCTAAAGTTGAGGTAAACCTTCCTAGTTTAAAAGAGATTGAGAGAGCAAATATTTGCCTCAGGTAAAGTTAGAGGGCAAGCCAGGTGAATGCTTTATTAGTTTTGTCAACCTATTCACTTTGATGCAGCCATGTTTTGTTTCTCTTTCACAGATTGGAACTTCTTCTGTAGTATATCCTGCTGCTATGTTTGCTCCTCAGGTATCTGCCAGGGGAGTGCCAGTTGCAGAATTCAACATGCAAAGCACTCCGGCAACGGATAAGTTCAGGTAACACCTTTTGTTGTTATGGTGACGTCCTGTTTTTTGCAGTAATATAAATAGAATTGGAAGGATTTATCAATGCCTGTTAGAAAGACAAGGTCACCTTCTAGATTACAGTAGTTTGTTATGTCTTCTTAGCAACACAGTAGAACTTAGTGGAAAAAACAAATGTAGATCAAAGATAAATAAATAAGAAAAACCTTAGCGTTCTCTCTTTTTATAGACTTCTTATAAGGGATCAGACGCCTCTCTCCAAAGATTGCCTGGTTTTTTGATTGAAGTTTTGATATAATAGCCAAAATGCAATTATAATAGGTACTGCTGCAGCAACTCCATAAATGGTTTAAATTAATAAAATACATACTGTGTGTATAATTTATTGAAAAACAATTTAAATCCCAAATTTTCTTTTTCAGATTCCATTTCTCAGGTCCTTGTGGTACTACGCTGCCCCCAGCCCTTGCCTCTGAAGAAACTGAGACCACCTCTTGAATATTTATGAGAAGTAAGAAAGAAAAAGAAAACTATAATTGCCCATTTCAGTAATGGTGCAGATGTGTGGTTCTGTGGAAAACGCCTTGCCTGAAACTGAACAATGGAATGTCAAGATTACAGTGAACAAAATAAATCATGATTCTCAGATGACAAGAATGAGGAGTGGAAAAGGATGATGGACAAAGACATGAAAAGTAGTTGTCACTGTTGGGGAAAAAAATCATGTGAATTGAAAGTATAAATATACAAACTGCCCAAATATGGTGAAAAAGAGATTGGTATTCTTAGAGTTTCAGATTGTATCTTTGATAAATGGCAAGCAAAAAGAGAATGTTACAATTATTCATATTTCACAAAATTATTTTCTGAAAACGGGGGTAAAACTGAAAATGTTAAGAATAAGCTAGCTTTTAATAGAGCCTACACTCCAGTAATTTGCAGGAAATCAATAAACAAAAGTATTCTCTGTTACGAGATGAAGTGCTCAAGATTGTAAGCAATATAAAAATAGTAGATTAACAGCTTCAATTTACATATGGTTGCCTACTTCCAGAGTTGAATGAATGTATGTATGAACTTTATTACAGCTTTAATTCTTTGCTGTTCTAAGGCACTAAAATAAATCAATGCCTTTTTAATTGATTAATATTGTTTTGTTGATACAAAGTGAGGCTATATTATGTTAGCAGGTAGTATACAGTAGACTGATTTTATTCTGCCCTCCCTTATTAGAAAACACATTGAAGGGGAATGAGCTTGATATACAAGCACTCTTAAAGCAGAAGTAGCAATCTTTTATCTGCATCACTTAATAGGTTCCATTTGATAATTTAATATTTAGACTTTGGATTGATTAAAAGGAAAACAATGCTTCTCAGAAGTCTGCTTTGGCTATAGGAAAGAGCAGAGAGGTAATGTTTTGCAGCCCCTGGTTACTTGTGAAAAGCTGCTGTGGAATGTGGAAAACAAGCAGCCCCTTCCTTTCTCCTCTTAGGATGCTCCGCTGGTTTTTTCCTCAGTGAGCCGTTCTGAATGCCTGTAAAGTCATGCATTTTTATAGAGATGCCATTAGCCACAGTTGTTCCCCTCCCCTTTTCAGCAATCATTTTGGCTGGGTGAACTGGAAAGAAAGTCTATTTCACAAATCCTAAAGTTGCAAGGGGCCAATCTTACTCAGTGCAAGAATCCAAATTCAAGCATTCCACCGAAATTGGTATCAAGCCTCAGATCACATCCACCGTCTCTTTGGATTATTTTAATTTTATAATGCATGATTAGTGATCAGTTGTGTGACAAAAAGATGTGGAAAGCATCAATAATGTTTCATAATTTCAAAATCCTAAAAGCAAGACTGAATCCTATCATCCTGAAAGTAGGACAGCATTTTCCTATGGTAGCTGTAATAATTGTGCTGGTCTGACAAAATAAAGCAAATAAAATCATGCTTGGAATAAATGCAACGTCTATTATCAAGTGCCATTACGAGGGTGGGGTACAATTTGCTCTAGAAAAAAACTCAAAGGAACAGAGTTTCAAGTTGCCCCAAATGACAAGGGCAAAGTTCATTGTGCAAAAAGGGTATTGCTATACAAATATATCATAGAAGACTAGATATTAAAGTGGGCCAAAGAGAGCACCACAGAGTTGGAATATGTGCTATCAAGTATGTAATCTTGCTGGTTCAAAGGCTTTTCTGTTTATGTCCTGTCACTGATTGGTTACTTAGATTGTCCTGGTCCACCTGAATGGACATTGAAAACCTGCTGACATATTACAGTTCTAGCTCTTAATAGCTTGATGGCCAGCAGAGGTTGGTATGAGAAGGAACAGTGTCATACTTAATTCTGGATTCTGATTTTCCAGAAAGGAACGAATTGTCAAGAGTCATGGTTGGATAATAGTTGGAAAAATGAACAAGCCAGTCTACACATGCAGATTTTTGGCACCACCAGCAGGATCACCTCAGTTTTAAATAGATTGCTGCATTTGAAAGTTAGCAAGGTACCTAAAATAGGGCTCTTAGGTATCTAGATTGGATAGTATTTTAAGGGCTTATATACAGCAATAATTCATATAATGAAAACCAAATAACATCTGGGAAATTACTTTAAAAGGTCTTATGGCAGCGAGTATGAACTTACTTTCTTCAATATAAAAGAAACATTGACTTGACAATATGAGTGACCCTCAATGGGTTGTGAAACTTACTGTTAAGATTTTTTATTTTATTTTCCCTAACATTAAATTGAAATGGTGTGAGAGTAAGAATGGATTTCCAGAGGGGGAAAAATGCGGACTACAGGAACCATCATTGCTCAAATGATCCTGAGGACACAGATGCAAATAAGTATAATCTTTATTGTCATTGTACTTAAATACAACAAAATTGGTTGAAATGACCAGCTGTCTCCAAAGAATATAAATCCTTCCATTCCCCACCATCCATTCAGAGCTGAAGAAGCTTCTTGAAGTAAAACATCTTGAAAGAGAAAAACCAAGAAAGCCCAGTTGCCTCCTGAAAAAAGCACCTTTGGGACAACCATGACCTGGATGACTGAGAATCTCTACAGATTTTCCCATGGTCCTTATAAAAATCCTTTAACGGGCTAATGACAGGTATTTTACACTGTAGTGTAAATCAGGGGTCCTCAACCTTGGCAACTTGACGACCTGTGGACTTCAATTCCCAGAATTCCCCAGCCAGCTATGCTGGCTGAGGAATTTTGGGAGTTGAAGTCCACAGGTCGTCAAGTTGCCAAGGTTGGAGACCCCTGGTGTAAATGGTTTCTGCTGTCTCCACAAACCACCAAATATGATTTATTTGTGTGTGTTTTTTAAAAGTATCTAATATGAAGGCGAAGGTCGCCTTTCGGGTTATTTCAAAGTTCTATTTGCCAGCTGCCTGAAGTACCGTAGGCCAGCGATCCCCAACCCCCGGTCCGCGGACCGGTGCTGGGCCGTGGAGTACCTGGCACCGGGCCGCGCAGCGGCCGGGGGCCATGATCGCTGCAGCGGCCGGGGGCCATAGTTTCTTTCTGTATGCAAATTAGGGCTAACTGGCACAAGGGGTGTTACTGGACCGCTGGTGGCACTCTGACGTCACCAGCGGCCCACCGCCCCCCTGTGTCCAGCGCCGCCCTTCTCATTCCTTTTCAGCGCTTCAGCGCTGGCCGATTCCTGAAAAAAACCTAAGAGCGCCTGCGCAGCTACGTAGGGCTAGCATAGACAGCGCTAGTAGCGTAGCCTTGCACTTTATATTTATGTAATTGTATTTTATTTTGTAAGGCATGTTTAAATACAATAAAATAAAAGTTGTTTAATCAAAACAATCTGATATATAAACAATCAATGTGTCGTCGCGAACAACGCCCCCCCACCCCTGCGCACGCTCAGCGGGCCACGGTAAAATTATCAAAGGCTGACTGGTCCGCGGCGATAAAAAGGTTGGGGACCACTGCCGTAGGCCACAGGTCTTCAAACTTGGCAACTTTCAGACTTGTGGACTTCAACTCCCAGAATTCTCCAGTCCACAAGTCTGAAAGTTGCCGAGTTTGAAGACCTTTGTGCGTAGCGAACACCCTCCCCCCTCCCAACCCCATCTTTTTAGGTTCCGGCGGATTCCTTCCGGCGATAAGAGTTCGAGGTTAACCGGAAGTTAGGTTAGCAAGATGGAGGCGCGCAGTGGTGGTGCTGAGGCGATGGAGCCCTTTTCCGACGGAGAAGAAAGCGACGAGGCCCCAGAGGAGGTGACTTTCGAGAGGGCGCGGGAGGCGGCTGCGGAGGAGCGCCGGTTGGCGGGGGAGCGGGCCCGCAGGTAACACAAACCCTCCGCCACCCAAGGCGAGAACCGGGGCCGAGGGGTAAGGATGGCCTGACCGCCCTGCCCTGCCGTTTGCGCGCCTTCCTGGGAGCGCCGCTCCGGCACAGCAAAACCGAGAAGCCAAAAGGCAGCGGGAGGTTGCATTTAAAGCAGTTTTCGGGAGTGGCCCTTTGTCCGAGATTGTTTTTTCTGGCCAAGCTTTCAGTAGGGATTTCCCTTCCGTACCTCCATTCCCCCCTGGCCTTCTTTGGCCTCAGTCTTCATGTAAGCAATTTGTAAAGTTGCCTCTCGCGTATCATTTTTAATGAGGTAGTCGACCTATTCTCCAAAGCCTTTGAGGGCAGGATAGGAAGTAACGGATGGAAACTTATCAAAGAGAGACCCAGCCTAGAGCTAAGAGGTTTCCTAACAAAACAGTGAATCGGAGGAATGGCTGGCCTCCAGACGTTGTAGGTGCTCCATCATTGATTGTTTCTAGTAAGAGGTTGGACAACCACTTGTCTGAAATTGTATACGTTCTCCTGCATGAGCAGGGGGTTGGACTAGAAAACCTCCAGGGTCCCTTCCAACTCCGTTACTGTTCTGGGTGTTGATTATATGCATTGCAATAATACAGGTTTTAACCAAAGGGACACATCCCATATTTTTAAAAACAGGAAAACCTTGAATTACATCCCCTTGTACGTGTGCAGCATTTTGTGAAAGCGTTCAGCTTTGTGGAGCCAATGCATATTTTTGTAATCCATTCATGTCTTATTTTGCTTTCTTAGAGAAAAGGCCATATTGAAAGAAAAGAGACGACATAGAGAAGAACTATTTAAGGAACAAAAGGTAATTTTGTATCTCATGTTAACAATGCTTTGTTAAACTTAAAAAGGTTCAAACATGTTTACACCCTACCTTGAATAAACTTCATGATAGTTTTAATCATGCTTCACTGTAAATTTAACTACATATACTGCCTCCTGATTATCTGAGAATTTGTAACAACATATCGAAATTGTTGAACAAGGATTTGTCTGAATGAAAAGCTGCCTAAGGGTTGCTATTGTATTGTAAATGTTTCAGCTACCATTTCAAGTGAGCTGGATTTGATTGAGTTTTGTTCAGCATATTCGAAGAGAATCAGATTGGACAGATTTAAGCAATGAAAATGAAAAGGGAATATGTGCTGAATATAGTAAATAATACAGAAATAAACTATTCTTAGGGATTTATTTCCCACCATGAAAACCATTTCTAATCTCAGAACACGGGGCAGTTTGCAAAAGTAAACTCCGTAGTGGCTCTTATTACCAACTAAAAATTATGGGACAATAACAAGCAACTTATTATGCAGATATTTTCTGCTAGCATCACAAGTGATTAGGGATTTTGGGAGTTGTAGATAGGAAACATCTGGAGTGCATGTGTCAAACTCAATCACATCACGTGACATTGCGATGTTTTCTGCCTTTGCGGAATCGGGATGGGCATGCTCTGCACATGACGCATCCAGCCCATGGGCCGCCAGTTTGACACTCAGATCTGGAGGATATGACGTTTCTAACCCATTTCAACATGTGCTTGATTTAGGTATTACATTAGTGTTATAATGTTATATTTTCATACTTAGATTTGCTGCCTTGAATTAACTAGATCTATAGTTTATAACTAATCAATGTCCCCCCCAAAATATTAGAGGACTACGTTAATGACTAGAAATAGTATTAATTGGAAAAATTTAATCTTCTCAGAAAAGAAAGCTGCTTCCTGAAAATGTCTTGGAGGAGTTGGCATCCACACAGAACAGGTAAGCAGATACGTTCTGGGCTACAGTAACTATTCCAAGTTTTGAGCTACAGTTTATATTTGTCTGTTATCCTGAGAAACAGTTAATTCCATCATTTTCTCAGGTTTCATTTTACCTAAATGACAGTACTATATGTTTACCAAATTGTATTACAGGTGTTCCTTGACTTACAAGCAGTGGAGAAGCCACTTAAAAACTGTGTTGCTAGCTTAATAACTGCAATGATTCACTTAACGACCATGGCAAGAAGTTGTAAAATGGGGCAGAACTCACCTAACAACTTTCTCACTTAGAAACAGAAATTTGGGGCTCCTTTATGGTTTTATGACAAGGACCATCTGTATGGGGCATTTGTGAAATGAGAAGTAATTTGTGATGATTGAAATCTTTTGCTGTTAATGTGTCAAGTACTTGGCTATTTTTGTACCTACCTGAAAGATAGCTAAATTATTTCCTCCAGTTCAAAACCTCCTATCAATTTCTGAAAAGAAAGAATGTGAGGAATTTACCTTCGGTCATATTAAATTCATGTATTTTAATTAGCTTAGTATTGATAATTTGACTGCATGTGATTAACTTTTTATTTATAGATTATGGAATCTCATCCTAAATTCTTCTCAACTTTTCTTCCATTAGCACCAATTCGACATCTGAGGACCAAGGTATATATAAGTCTACTTTTTATGTTACCTCTACTGTGTTATTGTGAATACTATAAAAGTGTGATTTGAGATTCACATGTAATCTAATATGGCAAACAAAAATAGAGGTGAATATCACCATTTGAAAAAAAAGGTAATATTTAATATTTCATATTATTTATAATATAAATATATTTATAATATGAAATAGATGAATATATAAATTCTCTGTCTCTGATGGTCTTTCAGATGTTTCTAAGTGGTCTAGAAAAATGATGTGAAAGTCTTAGTCAATAAGACACTACATAGAAAAATATTACTGTTTCTTCATATTGATCAGTAAATAATTCTAGGTATTTTTTTTAAGTTGGTATTTTTGTGTTGTCACTCTTTTCAGTTTAAAAAAACATTCCAAGTTGATTGTTAACAAGTTTGCCGTGGGAAGAATAGAACATCATGTAAACCTTAAGACTTGGTTAGCAGAGGGACAAAGTTCTTAACAAAACTATTATCTTTTTGTTATTTCTGGGGGACTAAGCAAAGTTGTGCATCAGTAGGTCATGCTAAAATTAGCTAACCAAGTATAATAACCATATCTGCCAGCAAATACTGAATAGAATGTATTATATTTTCTAAACAATATATTGATAAAAATGATTGAGGGATTTTTCCTAAGCAGCTTATCAAATTTTCCTAATTGATTCTATCAAAATTCAGGCTTATGGAGGATTTGTATCAAAGCCTCTGGAGATTATGCATGCAGATCAATTCCTGCCTACCATGGTATTATTTATTTTTTTTCAAAATTTCCATTTAGGCTGGATCCCAAACTGTAACTCTTTCTGATAACAAGAGTCATCAGTTTATGTCACACATTTATAAGCAAGGGTTTTGTAGAATCCCATTTAAAATTAGTTTAAGGCATTTAATATTTAGCACATGTATTGATTTATAGATCAGAATGTTGAAGATGAAGTTGAAAATCAAGACGATTCAGAAAAAGAGAGTGAAGAAGACATTTTAGCAACCAGGTATGGCTTACTTTAGCTTTCCCATTTCTGGATACCCTCTGGATATATAGACCAATGCTCTGAATTTATTAGCTAGCATGAGGATAATTCTGGAGATAGACATCCATACTTAAGAGGGCCCAGGTTTAGTAAGCCCTAACTTTGTTGTTCTTATTTGGTATGAGGAACTAAATTATTACAGTAATTTCAAGAAAAGAGAACATTTTTGTGAAAACCAATTTCCAATTTATTCTCAAATAAAAGCAACATTCTCGTTTAGGCAGTTGTAGATACGTTGTCTCCCGCAGGTTCAAATTACTTTGTGCTGTACTTTCATAACGCTCCAAATTAAATTTCTTTGAGAGGCCACAGTTAGTTAAAATGGAAGTCGCTCTTACAGTAACTTTTAGAAATACTTTATTTTAGCTTCAAAAGGCTGTACCTGTAGCTGTAGAATTGATGTTGGTGCATGGTGAAGACGCCTGTATTATGGATGGTGGGGCTTTGCAGTGATCTGGAGTAATTCTTAAATGTGGTTATAACATGAGGCTTGCTATCGCACATTCATTTTGTTTGGAGCAGGTTTTTGCAATCATTTAAACCTGAGGTACCACTTGCAAATGAAGGGCAAACTCTGCAAGTGGCATCACTTTATGTAAGCTAAATATTTGAAACAGTAAAACTGTTGATAAGCTTGAGTTTGGTCAGAGTTCATGCTGCAACTTGCAATTCTTCAAATTCAACTGCTTAATCTGAACTTAAAACAGGCCACATCTACCTACCTCCTTATCTAGCATTAATTTTATTGGAAACCTGCTCCAAGTCTTGGGAGTTGAACAGTCCTGCCCAAAGTCATGAGGGTGAGGGAGTGTTAAGTAGGTAAATACATGAATAATGGAAATATATTTAGAATAAGAGTTACCGTGTTTGCATATTATTGCTTTGAGTCAATTTGGCTAAAATATAGGAAATGTGGTTTTGCTTCTGTAAAATGAAGTAGGGAAGCAAGACAGTAAATATGTTAACTGTTCCTTTATCATTAGATGCCCCCCAAATTACATGGCTGTACGGTTAGAAGACCAGGAGCTAACCGATCAACAGCAACAGGATGCCAAAAACTTTATACAGAAACATCTTTATGGAGCAAGCTGCAATCGAACTACTGGTAAAGGAGCTTTGCATAATGAACTTAGAAAATACATTGTGTGACAAACTACAGTTCAGTTAAAATCCTCTTCTTTTTCCAGCAAATCAATATTTTTCGGTTGGAAACAAGAAAAATGCAGTTAAAAGAGCTGCGATCCAGTTTGTGAATAAATCTTGGGGTAAGATGATATTCCTTTGTCATACAGCAATTTAAGAGAGCTTTTGTGGTGATTGTGCCTTTATTGACTTCAATGTTTTAAGCTTAGGTTTCACTTTTAACTGAGGAACATGTACTAAAAGTGAAAAATATGGTCCAAAGCAATTGCTGTAGTTATTTTGAAGGACCTTCCATCAAAATGGTAATTTCCTACATGATCCCACATATGAAAAATATAAATATGGTTAAGTGTAATAAAAGCACAAGTAGTTAAAGATGTCTGTAACATGTGAGGCATTTATACCCCTGGGATATGATTATGAAGCTTGAGTGTGAAATAAAGCTGTCCATGTAATTTAAGATAAGAACTGTTTACTACTGAGCAACTTAATGGTAAAATGTCTTACCATTCAAAGCACCTGTGGTCTTGAACAGTCACATATGACAACACATATAGTTAATTTTAGTTCATTTTTAAAAAGCAAACAGGGTCAGACCTGGTAACAGTCAGATGCAAAATCATCAGGAGATTCCAGGATTGTAGGCTACCATGTAAAATGAAAGGGGGGGGGGATGCAGAGCCGCACGTCAAACTGCTTCAGTATTTTTGCCAGGAAAACAAAATAGATATGTTTATTTGAGAATTGTAGTTTATATATAAGGCTATTTAAGTTTGTGAAGAGTAGAAGACCTGAATGAAAACCTTTTTAGTTTGCAAATCTTGTAAAGGCTTCCCAGGAACAATAGACATTTTTGTATTTATTCCTGTAAGATTGGTGAGTGAGTTCTGATATTAGTGGATGTCTGATTTGTCACATAAATAAGGATCTCACCTGATACCAGGTGAGGAATACGAGAGGCAAGGTACTTTGTTTCTCTGGGCCACCAAATCCACGACATTACAGAAAGGTACAGAAAACACAAATTCCAGAGGTGGAAGATTTTTTTTCCTTTCTGCTTGATTACCATAAAATGAACAGGCTCCATAATGGCAAACACAACCAAAATTGTTCATGAATACTGTATATGCTGTAGATTTATAGTTTTAGTTGTTTTTATATAGGTTCTGTTGAGAATAAATGGAAGATGTTTTCTTAAATGGGATTGCTCAAACAGTGGCAAATTTGCGCTTTTATGGAACGTATAGCAACAACTTTAGCATTCTTGACTTCTTTTTTCAACTAATTGTATGTTTTCTTGTTCCCTAGGTAAAGTAAAAAAAGAAAAAGCTACTCGATTTACAAAACATTGGGTATCTTCAAAAGTAATTCCCTGAAATATTTTGCTGTTGCTTATGTACAATATCATTGCAAAATATCTTGTATTTAAATTATGTAATGTCCTTGCTATTGTTTATATATTAACATTTTTATGATTTATGTTTTCTTTTAAACCTTTGCAGAGAATTAAAAAGTATAACCTTCTGGAAAATAATTAGGGTCTTGCAATGGTATGTTCCAACTAAAAGTAATTTTATCTGGGTCTGTTGAATTCAGTTGAAATAAGGTTTGATTGAATGAGAAATCAGTTTCTTAAATATTTTGATACTCTTTTTGCTAAAATAATTTTTAACAAAAATGATTTTTAACTCTCCAACATATGTAACTTGACTTACTACTGTACCCACAATGTGTTTTTTGAAAGTACATTCCAGCTGTAAAAAGAAGATATATCTTGAAATAATTTGTATATAGGTTTGCAAAAATGGGAAATATTAATAAAACATAAAACATTGAATCTGGTTTGCCTGAAAATAATTCCATGGAATTAGTATATGTTCCAACAAGCAGCTTGTTCCCCTACCTGATACTTAGATGCCTATGGGAGCCACAAGCAAGGTGTGAATCAGTAGGAATACCTAATTCATTAACTGCCTATCCCTGGTTTACTAGGGTAAGAGGCGTAGCCAAATAGTCCAATACAAGAAGCCAGCACAGAATACTTATAGCAGACAACGGTATAATTCTAATCCGCTCCTGATTTTTTTCAGGAGTCAACTCCAAAGTAGGTCCAAAGAAGAAATCAGGTTGTCAGGAAATTTATTTCCTATTTGGCTCCTTTCCAGTAAAAAAAGTTAAACTTGGATGCTGATCTTCTTCATTGAAATGGATTTTATACTGATCAGAAATAACTGTAAAAATTGAGCTATTCGGGAACAGGTATCCAGTATGCCTATGCGGACTACTATTCCTAAGAGTTTAAGTAATTGAGCAAGCCTTTTTTTTCTCTGTCCTTTGTCTCTTGATGGGGTAATCCCATAATTCTTGTAGTCCAGATCTATGCATCTCGATCAGAATCCTGGTTAGAATTAGGTAATGGAAGATGGCTCCCCTAAGATCTCAGTATTATTCTCTGACATCACTGGATTATATTAATTTGGCTTTTTACTCAAATTCTGTTGTTCTCCCTATTCCTCCATGGGAATTGGGATAACAGCTGGCATTAAGAGACACACTTGCTGACTCAGCAACCACATAAATTTTATCTGTCACTAATCTGATGCTTCAGGTCTCTTAGCAGTGGTGTATTCATCACACTGTGTCTGGAGCCATCCTTTTTCCTCCCCATATGAGAGTCTTCTCGACAGAGCTGTTTTATTCCAAAATAGGATCACTGGAGCCTGGTCAATTGGCGCCTCAAGTGAGAAGTCTGAGTTGATTTGTTTGTTTGGTTTTTGGCTGTCCACAGTATTCTCAAGAGTTTTCTCCAACAACCAAAGTTCAAAAGCTTCCTATCCTACTTTTCAAAGAACAAAGATACTTACTTGGAAAACTAATATATTTTAACTCTAGGGGTTATTGCATTCAAGGGTCACCACATAATCCCTTCGAATTTGGAGACTCAGTAGATTGACTTTGCAGAAACTGAAGCCTTGCAGCTTTACATCTGTAGCTATAGCTAAGGAGTAGGCTGAGTAACAAATGGGCTGTTCAATACTGACAATGATGGGTGGCTAAATCTTCACCTTGCATATTCTGCTTATTGCAGCCTTGGGGATGTTCCACTCTGCTACTGATGTTGCACTTTTCATTAGATTTAAAAAAAAAAATTGCTTGGAGACATACGAGACTTACACTGTCCTTCTCATTCTATGAATAGACCTGAGATAGCGTGCTGTTAAATTACTGCTAGTAGTAACCCTTCTTTACAAAACAGAGCATAATATAGGTAACACAATCTTGCTCAAGTGGGGCCTTAATCCATAATTTTCAGCAGGAGCTAATGTTGCCCATGAGCCATGCCAACAAACCTGTCAGGTCAGAAAAGCAAATGGTTAAGAGCATGGTACAGTGAGACCAAAAGGCTTTACCAAATAAAAGCATCAACAATTGTTTATAAAATTGGACCATTTTGCCCAATATAAGTTCTTTACTCAATAATTCAGGAATGTTTCCTTGCCACTACATTAAGAGGCACAGGTAGATTATTGCAAGATCTCTTCTGGTGAGAGCATAAAGCTGTCCTAGCTTAATATCTGAAAGAACTATTAACGCTGCTATTTTCATTCCCTTCAGACAAAAAAATGAAGCAAATGCATGCATTTGGATTCTTTCCTATTATAGGATAAGATCAAGTTTTGTATAACATCCAATCTTGCTACCTTTTAATGTCCAATACGAAACAAATGTTCACTCTTATATAGACCCCCTGTTGCATAATGTATAGGATAAGTATAGGGCCCGACCTATGAGAATCATATTTTGGGTATCCATTGCCTGCATTTGTTAACACTTGGTATAGGTAAACATTCTGCTAACCACTTACACAACTATTTCTGTTTTTATATCAGTTATATATACTTATAAAAAGCAAAAGTTAAC